TTTGCACACGAAAAAAATCCCTGCAGCCCACTTTCCTCAATGTCCCTCCCCTCACCTTCAAAAAAGCCTTGAATCTGCCTTTCAGTGGACATAGTAAAGAATAAATAATTTGAAGATGAAGATTGATTAGTTTCTGGGAAAATCTGGAGTGTGTTTGTCTGTGAAAGCAGAGAATCCCTTTCAGAAACCCATGCTAAGGGCTAAGAAATGCCCGAAAGCACTTCCCATTTAGAGAAATATTGACTTAATTGCCTCAGGCCCTTCTGTTACGTATGTGAAGATTTTAAATACTATCCTGTCCCACAATGGATGCAAACAACTAACAGCTTTGGAGTCAGCAAAGGGATGAATTGTCCTTTCTTCAACCAGCCAGCATCAGCTGGAAAGAAACAAATATCAGGATCTGAAAACCATCTGTATTTCCAAAGGCTTATCCAATTTTTCCACATATATTCATTTCTCTGAAACAGGCAAAGTAAGTAGTAAGCACTTCTACTTGCAAGCAGTAATTCTGGCGACAAACCTGGCCTCATGTGCATGTTCAAAACATCACAACTACGCATACAGAGCTAGTATTGATTTTCCTTTTGGCACAAAACCAGATGGAGATGGTGAACGAGTGGACAGTGCCCCTTGCAATAACAGAACACTTAATGGTCACTTCTGACCTCCTGGGTGTTGTTCTCCTCTTTCATTCTGGTGGGAGTTACTGACCCACGTGCCTCAGCATGGAATGGAAATTTGTAATCTCTTTCAAATTACCTGGATTAGCTACATCTCTCAGTCTGGCCAAAATCAGCACTCTGGACTACAGAAACCTTCTCTCCTGACAGTGTCAAACATCTGTAAAAAATACAATGAGCATTTTTTGACAAACCACATATTTCTTCAGCATATTCCCAGTACTTGTTCTTCATTACTGAAGACTTCCTAATAAACCTGGAGCAGTTCAGGGTAAGAGAGGAAGCCAGAAGGATCACCAATAAGATTTCTCTGTTTGCTCAGGTAAATAGGGGCATTTTCCAGTCAGTGCTACTTTTAGGTCTTAATTCACCCTCTCCCTAAGCACATTCTTGGGCAAACCCCAATGTCAAAACATATGGATGAGAAATGCCTTTCAGCCAAAACCAGAAAGAATTGTTGCATGAAACCAGCAAAACAAAAGCACAACCTCTAATTATTTTAATATTGGATAGTGACAATGTTGTTCTGTGTTGAGAGTACAAACAACCCTTGGCCACAGGTCATAGTCCATTGCTATTGTAGAAAACATTGGGGTTGGTACAATGCTGTCCGTGGGCAAACCACTCAGATAATTAAACAAAAGCTTTGTAATAAATCAGATGAACATAGGTACACACCAGCAAGCAATGGATAATGCTTGGTTGGATGGGCAGAGCTCACTGAGTGTGGTGTCAGGACCATTCTCCTCACCCCAGAAGGTGCTTTTGCAGAGGGTTGGCTGTGCCACCGTGGGGTCACAGAGTAACTGATAGTGATGGGGCTTATTCCCAAAGCTCTGTCTCTTGGTAGTGGTGCAAGTGTCCCCAGAGGCAATGATGTGAGTGCTGCCATTGCAGGGGGAAAAGTGGGCTTAGCGGATGCCATCTCAGGGAGCAGAGAGAGTCTAAGTATGTAGGAGAGGGAATTACGTATAAAAGGAAAGACAAGAGAAAAGAAATGAGCAGGGGGGAAATGAAAGATAGGTAAAACAGAAGAAAAGGAAAGATCCACCCATGTGACTGTTGTTGCTGGGAAGTGCATGTCCAGCATATGCTGTATGTTGGGACCACCAGTGTATGATGGTGCAATGCAGCAAATACACTCCCCAAGAGTACAGAGAGCCTATTTCAAAATTTGTCCAGAATAACTTCCATTCCCCCTCTTCAGACTTGTATGTATCCTTAATGCAAAAACCTTAACTTGCACTACTCAGCCATTAAAAATAGTTGTTTTCTGGCTGTCTCTGAAATGATTCAAGACATGACCCTTTTTTTACTGAGCTTCCTCAATACTCTTGCTGTTCAATCAGCTCTTTCTGGCCTGGGTCATCCAGGTCTTGGATACTCCAGATAAAGGAAAACCTGAATAATGCTGGTAGTGCCATTTCCATCTGCCTCTTTCTACCTTAACAGAACATCTGCATGCTCCTGGATACAGGCAGGCAAGTTCAGCTGGGCATCTGCTGCAAGAGAAGCATGGACAGCTGGGTCTCCAGGCCAGGCTGCCTGCAGTGCTCAAGCACATGGACCTTCTCAGAGACAGCTCATCTCAAAAAGCTTCTTAACAGCAGTTAAATTTCCTAACAGCAGTCTGATCTCAGGACAATCAACCTCCCTTTCACTTAGTTGAAGGGAACATTAACAGCAAAGTGTCACAAGAAATTGCAGCAAGAAATAATTTGTGTCAAAATGGAATAAATTAAATTGAGTGGAGTGCCACTGTGTACTCAGAAAAAAGCTGTGACTTCAGAGCAATCACTCAAGTTTTGTACAAGAATAGATGGGAACAGAGCTCCTTGCTCCTTTTTCCGCATCACACCAACAGCAAATAGGCCATTTTTCCTTAGTGTGCAGCAGCCACGCTCCAAATGGGGCAGTTCAATTAATAGAGTAAGTGGGCAGTCAGCTATGCCCTTCAAAAACCTGCACATGGCTGGAATTCTTCAGTTTCTCACATTGCACCACTCAGGGAAGTTATGGGGCTGAAGCTGTTTTCATTCCTATCATGATGAATGAGATTTTTCACATATTTACAGTTCCTCTCTCAGTTCCCATGCTACTACATGTAACTGGAAAATTAATAAAGAATTTATGGCTAAAAGGGCAGAAATAAAAGGAGGATCAGAGCTGCTGCACAGTAAGTCAATATAATCAGGAGGCATTGATCAGTGGAACACAAAATGTTTTCATTGCCTTAAAAGTCAATATTGCAGGGGGAAAAATAGATGTACACTATTGTATACACTCAGCTTAGCCACTAAACGCTTCACAGACAAAGCTCAGTGTTTCTAAGTGTTTTAGAGCTTGCTTGCTTTCATTTCTTTTAGGTGAGTCTGTTGCTTTAGAAAAACAGGTAGGAGTCAGGATGCCTGGTGTTAATACAGATTCTTATTATGTTCTTTTTGGCATTCCTCCTGTGCCTCACAATGAGCAGTACTTAGCACAGAACTCATCAAAGACTGAATGTAAATCCTACTTAATAATGAGCACATCTAAAGAAATTCTTGAACCAGTAAGAGAATCTTGAACTAGCAAGATTCAATATATCTTGCTAGTAATTTATTTTTTCTGTAGTGACTAGAAGCTCTAGTCTTTTGTTAAGCCCCTGAGCATGTAAGTGTTATATAAATGTAGATGAAAACACTGAACTTGCCCCAGTTTAAAATCCACATTGTTGGTAGATAAACTTTGGAAAGTGCAGAGAAGAAAATGAAAAAGGTCAGTAAAAGAATGTGTAATGCTGGTGACATAGCATAGATGAGAAACTACAGAGGTGAGGTTTGCACATCATAATGGAGGAGCATGAGACAGGCAAAACCAGAGAAAACAGAATCAAAATGAGGGATGCTGAGCCCAGCTTAGGGTGTTTGGTATGGGAAGATGGGAAAAGTGGTGCCTAAGAAATATTATGGAGTTAAAGTCTATAAAAACTCCAAGCAACCAGGATATGAGATTTAGGGATTCAGAGAGTTAGTTCAGTTTTCCTCCTTGTTACCATTTGTATTTTAATGAAGGTTCTTTGCCTAAGATCCCTCTGAGATCACTAAAGATTTTTACTGGCTGTGAGTCAGTGATTATTTGATATTATTATTTATATTAAATATGCAACCAGGGACTGAATTCCTGGTGCTTTTGCAGTCACTCTGCAGTGCTGGTTGTCCTCATGGATGTGATTCATCTGACAATAGATTCTGACATCTAGATCTGAACAAGAGGTGAGATTCTTTTACCATGAATGATTTACTGTAACCCTATAGTAATTCCTAAAATAGATCTGGTGATTCTTTTCCTTAGAAGTGTCTGTTTCTCTCACAAGAAACAAGCACAGCCTAGGTTGACTTCTATGCCTAAAGTCAGATGAGATGAATTCCACCTTTCACCATCAATCTTTCCCAGTGAGTTTAGAAGATGAAAGTGAGAGGTGAGGATGCAGATGCTTGTCAGAGAGGGGATGTCTTCAGCTGAAAGAAGGGATCTGGGTATATTCCCAGCACAACGGGAGTCAAATCTGACTTACCAAGTAACATATATATTTCTGTGTTTGAAAGTTAGGACATATTTTAACAGTTATTATTATTGTCACATTTTGTACAAAAGAAACTCCCTTTCTCCTCAGTATGAGTCTTCTCCCAGTTCAATTTTAATGTCTTATTAGTCTTCACTGTGTTTTACATTTTTAGTGTCACTTCTACATTTATTTTCTCCACTGCCAAAGCAAATTTTCAGTTCCCCTTCTCTATTCCCACTCTCTCCTCCTTGGAATAGTGTGGTTTTTTGTTTCCTTGCTCCCTCCCTTGGTCACATCTCTCTTTTCTCCTCAACGTGTCTGTCCTTCTTTCTCCTTTTTCTCGTGTCTTACTGTGATTCTTCTTCCCTTCCCATCCCCATTCTCCTCACCTAACTCTCCCAAGAGTATGCTTTGGAGCACAGCCAGTACTGAATTTTAGCAGCCACAGCCTGGTGTGCAGAAGATGATGCCACACCAACGGCCAGATTTTGCTATGCCACCTCCTCCTGCTCCAACCACATTTTCTGCCAGGCACTCATTGCTCCTCTGCCATCTCCTGCCTCTCCTGCCAAACTCCACACAACTGAAATGGTTACAGCTGCAAAAAGGTCTCCACTGCTCCGATCCATGTGTCCTGGGGGCTGAGGCATTGACCGTTGGAACACTGCCTTAAAATAATCAATAACCGTGGGTGGCATGCCAACCTCTCACTGGCCAACCAGGGATAACTTGGGGTATTTCCTCATTCTCAGAGAGAAACAGCTATTTGTTTATTAGAGGCCGTCACCCAAAAACATAGCCGTGCCTCGCTCAGAAGGACACGCTCCAGGAGAGAGGAGCTGGAAAACCTGAAGCTGGCTGTGGGGAACTCTGGAGGCCATCTTAGCCCTGCTTAGAAGGTAAGCAAAAGTATTTACATGCTTATGGTAGCATTAAAAAGCAAAACTTTCTAAAAACCTCACGAAAAATTAGAAGCTTGCTCTAGCCACCTTGCTTAACGAAGCTGTAGAATGTGCTTTTGGTTGGTGAATTAATAAAGTGTTTAAGTGCTTCTGGCAAACCGGAGTGTTTTCCTAAGCTATAATAACGCATGCAGATCCTCTGATGTGCACAGGTGGCAAAGCGGCATTGATTTTGGTGGTAGAGGCTCTCACTAGGTCTGATGATTGTTGTTTAGGTAAGTTCTCCCTGCAGTTTGAAGTGGTATTGAGATAGGTCAGAGAGAAAGGGCTGGAACCCCCAGCTCTTCCAGCCAAAGCAGCGTCAGGTTGCTTTGTGCCGTACAAGAACTGGGCCCTCCAGCCATGTACTAAAGATGCAGAAGAGAATTCATAACTTAACTACAAGGCTTAGCTTTTGTAGAAGGAGGCTAGGCTGTGCCTGTGCTTGTTTGCCTCTCTCTGGGGAGGGGAGGTAGGTGAGGTTGGGCAAACAAATGGAAAAGTTGAAGCTGGAATGAGACGGGAAATCAGGCAGGCAAGAGTTAGTGTAAAAACATAACCTTATTTGAAAGACAGGTGATTTGAAAGGCCGGTGAAATATCCAGTATTCTTTCCATTTTCCTCCATTCCCTTTTCCCACTTCATCTTTCACTTGCACATTGTTGGTCTGTTTAGATTTTTATCTCTTTGAACTAGGGCTTTCTCCAGAGGCTTGCAAAATGCTTTGCCAAATTTTGAGCACTGTGTAAACAACAGATAATGACCATAAACACAGAATTATCTCTGTTAAAAATGATCCCATCTGAAATATTTTCATGCCCGTTAGCTTATTTTAAACACGGATTATAAAGCTCAACATGACTGCAAAGTGCTCAGAAGAAAATGCATACAAGAACAGTGCTCTTGTTGAACTCATAGCAGTAGAGAACAATGCAAATGTTTTGTATAGAAATGCAAATTAGAAGAAGTCTCTGTCAGCCACAGCTGCTTCTCAGCAATATATGGCACCCCATAAAGTCTGTTTTGCCTCTCATTTGAATAGGTCAGAGGACATCTCACCTGATATCTTACCCTATCTCTTTACTGTCTTCCTTCTGTCACCAAGATCTGTTTTAGCCTGTGTCTGCCTTGCTCAAATGCCTTCAAGCTACCTTTCACCTGGGCCTTTTTCTTGCTTGGGAACCCAGCCTTGATGGATTTCTGTGTTCCTAGCCTGCCTAATGACTGCTCCACACCAATCTTTGTCATAAAACTTTCCAGATTAGCCAATGCATATGAGTAAATTGAGGAACATTTCACCGCTGAGTGCCTCAGTAATTACAAAACCTATTTGCACATAACAAGCAAAGGCACCTGCGTGTGCATGAAATGGCGTGTGCCCATGTCCTTATCCTTCTCTTGCATTTGGGAACTGACTCACAGGAGAGCAAAGCCCTTTTTGTCATAAACTGACAGTTCTCTCTGAGGACAGAAATCCACAGCTTGTCCACAGCTTGATATTTTGTATTTTCATGCACATTTTTATTTTTATGCATTTGAAAGCCTTGAGCTGGAAAGAAGCGATAATAAAACATCATGAAGAAGCTTCATGTGATCAGTTTGTGCCATAAAGTTGAAGGTGGTATGCAAGTTCAATAATCACTGACCCAGTAGTCTGAAATTTCCAAATTGGAGGCACATGTATGGATCTACTTCTGTATGGATCAGGCTTTTCTCTCTGGCTGTAGATCCCAGCATGGATGCAGTGTGAGCTGAGGTTGTAGACTTTGGTGAAGAGGGGTCTAATTACAGCCTTTGAAAAACTGGGGTGTGACAGAGGAGAGGTGTGAGGATATAATGGGGAGCAACAGCCCACTTTACAGCTTTGGAGATTCAGACTGGACACCAGAAAAGTCTTTTTCATCAACAGATTGGGTCAACTCTGCAACAAGTCACCCAGAAAGGCAGTGGTGGCTCCATTCTTGTAGGTTTATAAAGTTCAGCTACACAAATCTGTGGCTGACACAGTGACCTAGTGTTGGTGGTAGTCCTGCTTTCAGCAGGAGGTCAGACTGGACACCTGCAGAGATCTCTCTCAACCAGTACTTCATTTATGTACATTCCTCGATTTTAAATAAAGAACCTGGATGCTATGAACTACTAAGCTACTGTATCTGAAAATGAGATGGGATGGTTTTTTGACCTGCCCTTAGCAAACAGACACAGAATTAGACAAGATTGCAGTTTTTCAGCTACTTTAGGGTGGGTGCCAAGCAGGCCTATAATCCACAGTCTTATTAACCCTTACGTGCAGAATAATCGTGTCACAGTAAACAATAATAAATATTTCTCCAGTTCTTGCTGAAGGTGTATTTTTGACTGAAATAGAGGAAATGCAGCTGGTAGGCACCTTGGGGAGGCTTCCCTGCTTGTCTCAGTGCCAAGGTAGGGTTGAACATTCACATGGTATCCTTGGTAGCCATTTCCTGTTCTTCTATACCTTCAATGCAAGAGATTTCAAATCAGTTTCCCAAGACAGTGGTCCCAAAAAACCCAAGGCATCTGTAATGGATTTAGTGCTGGCTAAACGTTGCTGCACCCACTAGAAATTATTTACTCATTTCTTGAAATGAGATATGGATTAGGAGGTGGAGGGCAAAACAGGCTCAAAATTTTAAATGGTATAAAGAGAGCTTCATTAACAGAATTAAAAGAAAAATTATAAGAAAATCAGAATAGATCTTCAGAACACTTATCTTCCCTCCACACCCTCTTTTCTTTCCCCCTGACAACATGAAGAGACAAAACTTGGAACTTTTAGTCAGTTTACCACTCCTAAAATAATCTTTCTTTATTTTCCTTAGGGAGAGGAGTCTCTCTTGCCATGCTATGGAGACTTTTTTAGTTTGAGACTTTGGAGACTTTTCTCAAGGCTTTAATGTCATAGCAAATCAGCCACCTGAGAAAGGAAAATTTTTGCAGTGTGAAGGTCTTTCTTGTGCTTTGAAGCTTTCTCAAAGCTGCTTCTATGGGCTATGTCAACTCATGGGGTACTATTTTAAGGATAAGCTATTTTAGCATAAAAACAAAATTTCTTTTTTTTTTATCTCTGGGAACAGAAGTTTTTCTTCTTCTATCCCTAGGGCAAAGTTTCTCATCTCTCTTATCTTTTGCTGTTTAAGTTTTTTATTGGATTATAGCTTTTTAGCATTTATATGTTTTAGCATGAGTGGGTTTTTTCATGAGCTGCAGATGAATGATGCATTTCTTTATGCACTTATGAATTATAGGGAAAAAATGAAGTTTGATATATCAAAAAATATACCTCCACCACAGCCTCACAAAAGAATTTCAGCCTAAGACTAAGGCATCTCCTTGATTCTTTCCCATCTAGTATTTGACATCTTTACTTACTTCAGGGTTCTGCATTGTTTTCTCTACATGCGTTCACTCTTTTTTTTTCCTGATTTGGGAGAGAATTCGTGTTTGTATGTTCATTTGTTCTTAAGCTTTATCAATTGAAACAGTTTTGATAGTCTCGTAGCATTGACAGGTTGATCTCATTTAGGCTCTGCAATTGAGGAATGGCTGTGTCTTTTGCTGCTGGTTACATGGTCCCCGCCAGCACTGTGCAAGCCACACTGGCTGCCAGCACCACCCCTGTGCTTTTTCTTCTTGCAAGGCACCAGAAAAAGAAACAAAACTTATGCTGCTTTTGTCTTTCTGCTTGCAGCATGGCTGGCTAAAAGTGGCTAAGGAAATCAAGTCTATTGCGAGTCATGCTGAGATAGTGGTGGCCACATGCCCTCAGCCCCATGGCTGCTCCTGGACTGGGCTGGCAGCAACTGGTTTTGGCCCTGGCCACTTCTGGCCTTGGGGCCGTCTTTTGGCCCTGGCCTCTTTTGGCCTTGGGACAGTTTCCAGTGCTGGCTGCAGGACCACTGCTGGAGCTGGTCTTGGAGTAAAGCAAAGTTTATGTGTTAGCCATGCTGAGACAGCCCTGGCTGCACGGCGCTGTCTCGGCCACACCGACTCCGGCCAAGCATCCCGGCTGCACGGTCATCTGCAGCACCGGGACATTCTCAGTGGCATGGCCTGGAGGCAGCAGAAATCTGAACCAAGCCATGCGCTGACCCGACCACGTGGGCCATGTGAGCCTGGCCTGGGCAGGCCTGGTCTAGCCGCAAGGGGCCAGCTTGGGCCTGGCTGGTTACCCCTTCAGAGGCTGGGAGCCAAGAGAACTTCACACGCTAGCCCGTCCTTAAATGTGTTTTCTTAAAGCTGTATCCAGCTCTTCTAAGTGGTTTAAATGGGTGTCAATCTCCAAAACTAGCCCTCTGATTGGTAATGGGGATGTCAATCTTTCCTCCCAACTGAAAACCAGGCTTGGTTAAACCAGGACAGCATCCGCCTCCCCTTCCACTCCAGGCCTTAGCCCTGACTGCCAGCCAGTGTATCTGTTTGTGGAGTCATGGTTTTGTGACTGATATTCCCAGTGGACAGACAATTGTCCATTAAAAACTGAAATGAAACTCTCTGGTAATTTCCTACCAACACATTTTAAAACAAATTCAATTAAACATCGCAGCTGTGAATAATTAAATTTTAAATAAATTCTCTGAAAGGAACAGGGTCTGTAGAACAGGATTATCTGTGTATGTCTTACCTGAAACATTTCTTTTTACAAAATTGATTCTTCTTTCATTAAAGTATAAAACTGCTGAAACCTGGTGCTCCCTGCTCTGCAGTAACCCAAACCTCCCTGTATCTTTCCTGAGCAGAGAGCTGCCATGTGCACTGGGAAGTGTTCAAAATGCATTGGGATCGCCCTCTTCCCACTGGCAGTTTGTGCCATTGTCTCCAACATTCTCCTGTACTTCCCCAATGGACAAGTACTGCAGCTCAGCGAGATAACTGATGTGGTCTGGTTTTTCCACGGCATTCTGGGAGCTGGGATACTGGTAAGAGATGAACATTTCTTGTGAGTTTTGTTCAGTTTTGTTTTAAATCTCCATTAAAAAAAAAGGTTATAAAAATGAGTTTTGCATAAACATGTGAACAGCTTAAATGAGTGTTGTAGTGTGTTGTTAAGTTTCTTGTGTTATTCCCCCAATTTATGTATTGTTCTCCCCTATTATGTGTAAAATGGTTTTGTTCCGCCAGTATTTCCCGCCACTGCTACCCTGTCAGCTAAGTTGCTATGGTAACCTCGCTATTCATAGTTGCCGATATGTAATTGCTTCTCCTGTGGTTTCCCTTATAAGTGAAAGTTGTCTCCTCCCTGGGCCCAGTCAATCACCCCCTTCTCCTCCCAGGTTTCGAGAACCTTCTCCTCTCTGGAGATGGTGGCTGGCTGGGGTCCCAAGACACCTCCCTTACCTTTTGATTATTGGTCCCCATGGAGTGTCAGTTCTGTGAAGTTCATCCCCTCACCTTTCCCGACTGGTTCCGTCTGTACCCACCCCCCCTCCTTTTTAATCCTGTTTCACCCCCTATTGACAAAACATTTCCCGGTTGGTTTCCCCACGTTTGGATCCCGCAACACCTTCAATAAACCGACGTTTAACCCCCGGTGAAATGGTCAGCTCCGTTCCTCCCCAATACCAGCGGTGTAAGCCAGTCCACAGCCAGCGCAGCCCGAAGCCATCAGACGCCGAAGGGTGCTGGCCAGGAATTGCAGAGGGGCGTCGGCCTTTCACCCTCAGCTAGCCGGACTCCAAACTTCGGGCCACATACGCCCCCCTCTGCAAATGAGAAGATGGGTATGAACAGAGAAAATGCATTTATGCATTTAAGGCATAAAAAGTGTCTAGTCAAAGAAATACAAAACATTCCTGAAACAAATATCAAGACTCCAAGAAACACTAGGCCTAAGTACTCACTGTGGAGAAGAGTTACATGTGTTCATCCTCCAAGAGTGAAAGCAAAGCTGAGGTCAGCTGGAGGCAGTAGGTTTTCACTATTGTCTGCGCCCCTGATTAAAAAAAAAACATTAAGGGAAAATCAAAAATGTGTTTCAGCAGGTGTTAGTTTGAGACCCAGCTAACACTTTACAAATGTGGAGTTGCAAATGGCTTAATAAGCTGAATGCCTCCTGTTCCCACACTCCCACCCACCTTCTTTTGGGTTGGATCTGGTTTGAATGTGCTCTTCTATAACTAGTTCTCCATTCCAGGCCTCAGAAAAGATCACTTTTATGTGAATATCCATGTTGGGGAATACTTATCTTTCCTGTTCATCAGAAAGCCTGCTCCCCTTGTGCTCTTTCAATTATCTACCCAAGTGCACTTAAAAAGCTAAGCAAGTAACATGCATATGACCAGTACTGGGCAGATGCCAGACTGTGCCAGATGGCACAGAGATGGCCAAAAAATAAATGAATCTTTAAGAATAATTAACTTAGAAAAAAAATAAATCTCATTCACAGTCAGCCTGTGATGCAGCTGCCGCTTAAGTCTATGGAACGCCTGCAGTGGAGCTGGTTCATACTCATATTTCCCAAAGCAGAAACATGGCAGAAGGTGATTCAATAAACTGTTCTCCACCAGCAGCTTGTCTGCTTCTTCTTGTGGCTACCACTTGGGCCTATTACTCATGCTGAGCTTGAACATAAGCATGAGTTTGTAGGAGGAAGAAGTGCAACTACATGAGAGACCTTGTGGAAAACTCGTATCACTGCAAGCCCAGGAGCCATTGGCATTCAATAAAAGGAAAGGAAAGATGTTAGGCATGAGAGCGTCACTGGCTCATTGAAAACGTCCCTTCTTTTAAGGCTTCCACACAGATTTGCCTGTGGCCAGCACTACATACATCAAAAATGAGAACAGCTAGTCAGAGGAGAGGAAAAACTTGCATTGACCTTCAAAACACAACTAGGGAGTAATTGATCCACAAACAATGCTGTTGAGTGTACATGTTTTCCAGAAAACAACATGAGAAATGCTCACAGGTAAGGGGAAACAAAGCATTATCAGCAGCTCCATCTTCCAGGTGCTGGAAGCATGGGAAAATGAAGATTGGCTTTTCAGTGTCCTAAGAAGTTAAAACAAGGGAGAGGATGTTCCACGACTGGAACATATGCTGACACTACAGTGAGGAAAGATGAAGCTGCAATATGTTCCCCCAAGCACTTGGATTCCTCCCAAAGGAAACTGAGGCAAGCCTTGCCAACAGGTTGCCTGATCTTGGAGAATCTCCCCACAACTAGGATGCAGCCTCCAGAGTCAAGACTGTGGGAGAAACTTCAGAACAGCCTGGCTTAGCTCTGTGAGCCTGTAAATTCTCTCCACCTAGGAACATCATCTGTAGACTGATACACAGGTCATCAGTGCCCCCTTTGGCTGAGTAGTCAGCTCCACCCTTTCCTCCTCTGCTGAATTTCTAATGGAAATTATATGACATGGAAACCTCTCAATTTCCTTGTTTCAAATATTTGGGATGTAAAGAGAGTAAGACTGGCTCTATGTGTCACAGTAATGCCTTTCCTCATAGAAAGCCTGTGTGCAACAGAAGGAAATGCCTGACTGAGCCATGGCTCACACACAGCTCTTGTTTTACTGACAGCAGCCTAACCCAGCCAATTCTCATGCCCATGTCAAAAGGCAGGTGTTTATAATCAGGCACTGCATAAAAAGGAGGCTGCCAAGCAAACCCTTCATCCTGAGCCAGGCTAATAGATGACACAAAAGTGTTTGCCACTTAGATGGGAAACCTCGAAAGAAAAATGACAGCCCTGGAGGAACAGGAGTGTTGGTTTGATGGGCAGAGGTATTAACTCTCCTGAGTGCCTGACAGTAGAACACCTGGGCTGAGGCTGCCTTGGGGACCATTTGTGATTATTTAAGAGTGGACTTCCTTGCAGGAAGAGGAACATCTTTTTAACCTCAATGCTCTATTTCTGCAGGCTTCCAGATGCGGTCCAGCCACCACTGCAGGTGCTGTAGGTTGCCTCTAGGGTGTGCATAGAAGGCAACAGAGAATAAATCCTTTGAAAAATATCTAGGAGCCTACAAATCTAAGCAAGTCTCATAACAATGTCCCACACTGTTCAACAGAGATATTTACACTACACACACAAATTCCGTGGGCTTTGTTCATCATGACCATTCTGCTATTCCTGCCCTACGTGAGAAAAAATCTTGCCAGCATCTAGTTAGGCCATTTTTTTACAGTTTTTACCTTTTATGTTTGTTTGTTTGATTGATTGATTGATTGACTGATTTGGGTTCTTCTTCTTTCATTAACTTTATGGCAACCATTTCCTAATTTTTTAAATACTCCTTTACTTGTGCTGCTCTTTGAGATGCTTGAACTAGCACTGGTGTGTAGAAGCAAGGCAGTGGGAGTGTGCTGTCTGCAAAGCCAGACCCACAAAAGCTTTCTTGACCTCAGGCTACCAAACTGAAGGCAACTTTTCCTAACTCCAGGGTGTCTGTAAGGCAGCATTATATCTCCAGTCATAGATGGTTACTAACTGCATTAAATTGGTCCAGCTCTGCCTGATAATTACCATGAAGCAAGCTGATGTGAACTGGAAGTTCCCCATTGACTAAATCCATCTTGTAGGTTTTCCAGAAATTCAGCACAAACCCCCACTCCCACCCAAACCAAAGTCAGATCTGTTTCAGGAAGCTCAAGGCTGATTTCCTAATCATAATCCAGAGCAGAATGTTCAGGAGGTTTACACTGTCCATAATTCTTGGTCCAGCTATGTATCTTTTCTGGGCAGAATTTCAGTTTTCTCAAAACTGACACATTTTTTCCAAAGAAAAAACCCCAACAATACTGTGCTGAACTTTTTTATACCCTGAAAAAAAGAGTATAGCTTCAGCAATCAGAATTGATGTACCAGCAATTTTCCAGACAGCTCTAGCTGTAATCTCACACTTATTTCTGAGTAAATCTTCAGCAGCACCAGCATCCAAGCAGGTGTAACTCCCAGAGAAGAGACAGAAGGTGACTTGCATTTGAAGAACATGATGCCCAAGCTCTTAGAATTTAAAAAGCACCCTAGCAGAAGTGCTGCACACTAATTCAAAGCCTGTGCTTTTCTTACAGGTTATGTTGCCGGCATTCATGATGCTGGGAGCAGGTGGAGCAGGATGTTGCGCTAACAGATGTGGGGTAAGTGGATATTCATCTGTTGAAATGGCACTACTGAGTTTGTGAAATAGCTCTTGAAATGGCTGCTCAGCAAGTGGAAATGTGCAGTGACAAACCATCACACCTCTGTCAGCAGCCATGTCAGGGAAACAGAGAAGAGGAGCTTGATCTGCAGCGTCCCTGGGCTGGGCCTGAGGGCTCAGTGAGCCAACAAGAACGTTGTGATGTTGCAGCTGCTGATAGGAGGGAAATCAGCCAGGGCCAGGGCTGGAGCCCTCAGGCACAATGCTGAGGGCAAAGGAGGCTACGTCCCATGAAGTAAAACATGGCTCCAGCTTCCTCGAGCTCCCGTACACAAGGCAATCATAAAGACTGAGACAGTTGCCTGTTCTTCCTGCTTCCACAGAGTCCTGTTTCCTCTATCCTCTTCCATGGCAATCTGCTTTTCCACAGGTTCATCCCTGCTTTTCCCTGTAGGGATACACGCATCCCCTATTGGCAGGTCCATGCCAAAAGCGGGAGATATTGCATTTGGCACTGAGGAGCCAGCACTGCTTGCTGCAGTTCTGACCAGTAACTCACATGTGCCCAAATATTATGCATGTGAAATGTGAACATGCAATTTAGGCTCTTTGACATCTAAAGAAAGACCAGAGAGGTGTTTTACTTGATAATTAAGAATATTATAAAGCAACATGTTATAAAGGCATCTCCGTTCATCCTCGTGCCCTGGGCACAGACTTCTGTGTGGCTATCATTATTGGCACGATAAACTGACTTAGAATTTATTTTTTAGTCTGCATCATTCCCAGAAGCAGCCTGGAATGAGAGATTCCATGCAATAAAGCACATCTCTTCTGTACTCTTTAATTAATATTTAGTCTGATCCATGAGAAAACCTTCGTCTCTTTAAAACATTTTACTTAAGTTAATTCATGACACAGAATACCAAAATAGCATTCTTTATTAGGATGTCACACATTAGCAGACACATTCCAAGGGACATGCCATTACATTGATTTTACCAGAGGTCACATGCACAGACAGGATGCTGACAGTGGCCAAGCAGGCCAGTTGCAGAGCTGGGGTGAGATCCTAGGCACCCTGCAAACAGTGCCTGAGCCAGCTGCTTTGCCTGACTTTGGGTGATGTAGAAAGCAGTGATGAAACACAGCTACTGCTGTGCTTCCTATGCTCACTGAATCTGTTAAGTCACAAGGGGAAATCCAGCTGAACTGGGCTGAGTTCACACAACATCTCAGGTGTCTCTTCTTCATCTTTCATCCCAGCCCTAAATATTACAGAGCCAAGAGTCAAACTTCCCCAGGCTGGCTGGTTTCACTCCCCAGCCCAACAACACAGGTGCTAGCACAGTGTCATCCAGCAGCCCACATCCACAGACCCACCACAATCCTCCATTCTCCACCTCCTCTTTCACTGTCTGAGCCATTCCTAGCAGCAGTACATCATGCCAGATACTGTCTGCACCTTCCCATCACTGATTGGTTACCTACAAGCTGTTCTCTTCTTTATTTGCTGTTATGGAGGAATAAAATAGATGTTAATACAGTAATTTGATTATGCACTGTGATATTTTGTAGAATCAGGAGAATCACAGAATCATTAAGGTTGGAAAAAAACTCCAAGTTCATCAAGTCCAACCTTCAAATGAATACCACCATGCCCACTAAATCATATCACAAAGGGGCTGAGGCCAAGTGACGAAGCTACCCAAAGCAAAGTGGAAAACAGGCTCGGTGAGGACAGTCTATCTATGAAAATGCTGTCTTTTTGAACACACACCCCTCTGAAGTCATACACCTCTGTGAGGTGGAAATGATGAAGCTCTACTCCCTATGTTTTAAACAGTCTGTTTGAGATGCTCAAAGTAGGGATGAGATGGGGACATGAGTAAAGAGTGAATGGCTGTGAACAACTAAAAACAAGTTTACCCTGCACAGCTCCTGGGGAAGAGTGATTTCCAAACGTTCAAAAAGAGGTCAGTGTTGCAGGGAGATCTGAAGGCTGAAGGTCTGCTTCTTTAAGGGACGAAACTTCAGGCGAAATATGCTTTGTGGAGAGTGGAAGGAAATGCACAGGCATCCAGAGCAGGGGTGCTCAGATGTCCTGACTATAAGGGCTGTATATGCAAGGCAGGGTAGGTATGGTGTGAGACCCTGGAGAGCAGAGAACTCCTGAGATTGATTCAAACATCCATAGTATCAGCAACCTCCCAGAGTGACAGAGCTCCTTGGGAGGTAGGTCTGGATGGACCTGCTAAGGGTTCCCCACCTACTGGCAGAGAAACAGCCCTCATCGAACTGCTCAGGAGCCTCTGTAATCCAAAGGCAAGTTTGGGCACCTTTTTGCTTTGGAGATCTTAGGTATAAAATGATAAATTACACTTGAATACTCCAAATTGCAGAATTTCTTGTCATAATAAAAATGGGGAAAAAAAGGTTAAAGAATTATTACTGATCAGAATTATTGTTTAATCAAAACATAACATTTTGCTCAGGGCAGGAACTCTGTTCTATTTTATTTTGCACAATTCCTGGTTTAATAGTTTCAGACTTCATCAAAGCCTTTACACACTGCCAAAGTATCTTCAACAGTAATAAAAATAGTATGTTTCTCATACTTTTTATTCACTTTAGTAAGTTTTCCAGTTCACAGTGATTACATGCTACATTAAGGTTCTTCATTAATCAACTTTAAATTATTATTTACAAACATACATCAATGGTCTCTTGTCCTTGCATTATGGAGTAATGAATTTGGAAAGTAATAGATTTAGAAAGCTTCAGTGTCTTGCAGCTTAGCACGTACACATCTGAAATTATCCACTGCACTGACATAATGAGGAAAAAGACCCACCCAAAATACAGATTCTCTCATTGCATTAGCAAACATATAGTCCAGTATTTCTAAGTCTTCCTTAGGAGTCACTAGTAGAACAAGAATAGCCATAGCAGCTTTTGAGACAAACTTAAGCAAAGATATCCAGATAACCAGACAGAATAACTATTCGATCAAAACCAAGAAAACAAACAAAACCAAACCAAAAAAAACCCCTAAAACCATCAAAAAAACTCAAAACACAAAAAACCCAAAAACCACTTCCAGACAAAAAACAGAGAAGAAAGAAATGTGTATGGAGCAAGAACCAGAGTATTAAAGAGCAGCACAAGCTGGGACAGGAAGAACTTGGTAACTTCACCAAAGCAGCTGATACAAACATTCAAAGAATGAATTCTGAGAGTCTTCATCAGCTCACCTGGGACAATTCAGTTAAAGGATTTAATAAAGCAGGGAAAATCAGCAAAAATGGTCAGCAAAACATTTCAGGAGTATAGAACAGGTCAACATCATGGGAAACAAATTTCAACACACTCAAAGCATCCCAGCTTAGGCCTCCTGTTGCAATTAAGGACACAAATGAGGAAATCAAATATTTCAATGAGAACTACTACTAGGGAAAATGCTGAAAGTTTGAGATGATGAAATGGTTAATAAAATCCTTGGATTTTCCCAGATTATGAGGCAAGCTTCCAGAAAAGTCTCCAGATCAGTAGATAAAATGGGGAAACGCCCCTGCACGTCTAGAAAATGCTGAGGAGAGCCAATCTAACAGTCTGTAGTAAATTCAGACTCCTCTTTCCGTGACAAGTAAAGTCTCTGTCTAGATGATTCTGTACACAGTAAGGGAAATAGCTGGGATGAGGCTAGTCCTACAATCAACAGATTCCAAAAGAGACAATCATGTGACAGAACACAGTCATCACAGATAGCACTGACAAGTACTACTAGCAGTAACTGCTATCATAAAACATAGTAATACCAAAAGACCATTCGATTTTTTCTTCATAATTATCTTTGGGATGCCCTGTACTGCTACTAAAATGAATTGTTAACATAATTAAGATTCTTCAACCAAGAAGCAGAATGCAGAGTTGAAGTAAATGAAGAAACAAATGGGGAAAAGTGATTCAGAATAGGTAGGAGTTTCAAAGAGAGTATCAGTCACTCACCATCACCACAAGGCATGGTTGGTGATCTTATTATGAGAGACAGCGCATCAGCTACAACCCAGACACTGTTTTGGTCCAGGACAATAGACTAAATTAACTACATTTTGCTGACAATGGAGCTCTGCTAAGAGGCAATTCAGCCAACATGCAGATAAAGACTAAGGAAAGAGTATCCAGCTTTGCAAGAAAAGACTGAGTTGTTAATCAGTTATGATTAAATAAATCCCATGAGAAATCCCAGCAACTTTTAACTCAAGGATTGCTTCAGAGGCAAAATACAAAAAATTAGCCAATTCACACACCAGCATCAAGCAAGGTTCTACGGAAAGCTGTTGGCTGGTAAGCTGGAAACTGCATTCACCAGCTTGAACGTGTTCAGACAGTGAAGCCTTTTCAAGGCTTTGTCAAAAAACTCCAACATGGATGGTGGATATTTCCATTTGACTGTGTAGTGCAGTGGTCTGTGGAACAACTGGGACAAGGAGAAGGTTTCTACCTCCTTGTGGGGTGGTGGATTTCACCTGGTATTTGCTGGCAGTGGAGAATTATGAGACTTGAGATATTTGGCTTCAAACCTGAGTCATGGATGAGAGTATTCTGTATGTGCTTCCTTGGTCATGCCATTGCCCTGTCTTTAAGGCAGGCCTGCTGCCTTCTCCCTGCTCCAGGTCCTCCCCTGGCTCAATGGCAGAGTTGTGAACAACCACAAGCAGTGATTCTTAGCAAGACTATTGAGAAGCCTGTCCCAGATGCACCATCAGTAGCATCTTCCCAAGATTTTTGTTTCTATAGACAAACAGCAACCAGATACATCCCATTCGTTACTAGAAAACTACCCAGAATGGAGTAAAGGTAACATTTCTGTGGGAGTGGCTGATGTAAAACATGAATGCATTACATACAATTTGAAGTCACTGCTGGTTTGTTGCCACATGCAGCACAATTAGATTTCTCAACATGAGAAGTGGTAATCACATGTCATGGTGTTGCAAAATGAAGTAAAGCAGCAAAAAGAAAGGTTTTTTTGCATTCCATCAATTAGCAAAAACAATTAACCTATCTTTTGTTGCTTTCAAACCTGGTTCAGTAGTTGCTTGCCTTTTTCTGTTGGTGCAAGGGCCAAGAAAGGTGAAGAGTTGGAAACGCCAAGGTGCATGATACAGAACAGATCAATCCAGGATTAGCCTTATACTGGCTTTTGAAAGAAAACTCACCAGATTTTTCATAATTAATAGTTTAAGCATAAAACTCAATAAGTTCTTTAACATCTAGGACAGCTACAAGAGTCAGAAAAAGTCAACTATTTTTTACTCCCACAAATTTAGTAGCAGTAGTATTTTAGCATAAAGTAAGAGACAAGAAAGAGAATTCTTTCTCATTCACTGTGAGTTCTCCATGCTACTCCAACCTTTGTGCCCACAATGTTGAAGGTCTTTTCCCTTTCAGATGCTGCTGTCAGTGATCCTGTCTGTGATGGGATTCGCAGGAGGAGCATATTGTGTGGTCATCTCCTTGTTTGGGCTGATTTGGGGTCCTCTGTGTGACACAGGTGATGGAGAATACCTCTACCCTTTCAGGAATGACACTCTGGAGTGAGTATGGCTTACAAACTCCTCCAATTTTGCTTTCCCTAATCCCTCCCCTATCTTTTTAAAGCAAACTTGGATTTTTCCAAAATGAACTGGTGGTTCACCCTGTGTACACATAAACTCACACTTCTGTGAGTAGCACGTTCCAGCTGGTCATTCTTTGACCAAGGAATCATCCTTGGGCAAATCGCCTGAGTTTCATCTGCTGTGCTTGCCACAAATCCCTTGTGCAATTTGCACCACACTTTCAAAATTCCGTGAGCTGTGACTCCCACTGGAGTCAAAAGGAAATGTTTGCTTACTGTGCCACATTAATCTGTTAAATTACAAAGAATTCAGCCTGCTCCACCTGCTTCTGAAAAGCAAAGCAAAAATCTTCTCTAAATCTAAAAAGTCAACCTTGACAACTATGCTCTTCAAATCAGAGCTAGAGATAATGAATGGACTGGGGTGAGATACCACAGCAGGAGTGGAGAATGTAGAGACACATTTTAAAACCACTACGGACCTTTCTCTTTAGTTATTAACATAGTTTTGCCATACAACAAAGACGAGATTCTTGTGCATGCAACAAAGTACAGATGTGGCTCTCTTCCCTAATTATCAATTGCATCTCTGCAAAGGGAATTCTGGGGAGAATCAGCAGCTTTGACCAATTATAGCACCATTTGAGACTCACTTTGTGCTGTCAAGTTCAGAAAATGAAATGCCAGAAAACAGAGAAAGCATTCTCAAGTTTTTACTTCCTAATACCTTGCCAATTTTTTTCCTCTATCACAGAGACAATTATTTGTTTAACCAGACAACATGGAGTATTTGCAAACAACCTGAAAACATCATCCTTTGGAATATCGTCCTTTTCTCTATTCTCCTGGTCATCGGTGTGATTGAAGCTATTCTTTGCTTCATTCAAGTCATCAATGGACTCACTGGCTTCATATGCGGCACATGTATGAGGAGAAGAAAGGTTGGTATGCAGTAAAAGGGTGCTTTATGTTCTTTCCAGTTTTAGTTTGCAGGCTCTGGGGATGGTACATGAGCTGACAGATCTGCACAGTCCCTGGACAAGTTCCTCTGGGCAGTACAGATGCATTTGCACCGTCTCTTTCTGTCTGTCACATCATAGTCAGGGATAACCTGGTCCTCAGATTTTTCTAAACAGCAGTATGACATACTCTATTGCTATTTAAGAAGCCTTTTTTGATAAAGTATAATGACCCTCCCCAGCATATGTAAGTGAGAGACAAAAAGTAGAGATTTTTAAAATTGGTCAAATGTGGTAATGTTGTTATTTTACTGAATGGAAGAAAACATCTTTCAAATTTCATTTGTCACTATTGCTTCCTTTTCTTTGTCTCTTTTCATTGTACAGTTTCATTTGCAGTAAGTCAGATATCCCCAGAAATATTAATTAATCATCTTTCATTCATTATCTTTCAGACAAACATTTCTGGAATGTGAATGACCTACAAGGAATGCCAAGACAAGCCCCAAATGCTGATTCACATGCAATAAGGATAGTGCACTGTACTGTTTTATTTATGGGGGGACAACAACAAAAAATGTTCAGGTGTTTCACAGGGCAAAATTATTTTTTTATGAAGAAGTCAAGGTGGAAAAGGGCTAGATAATTTCAGTCTGAGACTCTACATTTTCATCTCTCTAAACATACCTGCCAAACCTCAGGTACTGGCAAAAAAAATTAATCTGTCTGGCCCTTACTGCTGTACTTGTGTATAAAGCACAACAGTCCTCAGATAAAAGATCACCACTTGCCCTCTCATGTATGTGGGAAATGGAGCTATTGCTAATGTACACATTTATCAGCTGCATGAAGCAGGCACTCTCTGGCTGATGTAAATAATGTCCCATGCTCCCCAAATCTGACCATGAGCTCACCTGTCTGTTCCTATTAATTTTTGAATGGGGCATTCACAGATTTGAATGAGGATGAGCAGAGAATATATCGAACAGTGTTTGAGACACTGCAGAGGAACTGAAGAACATGGGTTCCAGCCTCTTTCTGCCACCCTGGAGCCAGATCCCCTCGCCAAAGCCCAGGCCACTTCTAAATTGGCTCTTCAGGAACATCTGAGAGTTGTGGCAGCCTTAGAGGAGCATTTGGGTCAACAGAGGTAACAGGGTTTGCAGCAAGGGTTTAGAAATGTCTGGCTTAACAAAAGGGTGAAGAACCTTACCACCAATTTTGCCTTCATGAAACTGCCTAAGAATTTCACTAATTTCCACACAGGTCTGTAGGGCTGCTCTAGAATAGAGCACATGGATCAAGGAATTAACTCACCAAAGATAAATGTAGTAATGATGTGCAGCTTAGAAATAAATAGAAGATATAATCTGAAGGCAGCAGATTGCATCAGCTTTAGTTTTTTAGCAACTGTAATACCAACCAGGAACTGCATAATTCCCCATCATCACTCAAGAGCAAGCCCTTGATGTTGAGCTAATGTCCATGACTGGGAAGTTTCAGAAAACTCATCATTTCAGTGACTTCCTTCTTGGACAGGAGCTGTCAGCCAAACTGTGAAATAATCTTTACCCATCCTGAATGCATGTAGGCAGCTATGAAAACCTGAATATATTTAAAGCCCTTGGAGCCTATTTCTTCTGATTTATGTTTTCTCAAAGTAGTTTGTATTTCTGTGCTGTAGCATGGGAACAACCTCTTTAAATACACTTATTGCAGACATATGTGGCAGCTTGCACTGTCCTTTAATGCAACATGCAAAATGCTTCACATTCTCCTTTATATCAAAATGAGAAGAAAAGGCCAGTTGCCTAGATGAGGTGCATATGCACCTTGGAGCATAGTTTCACCCCTAGAAGGAGGAAATTTAACCTATAAAATTTAAATGCAACTTCTGTAAAGAAGAAAGCATAAGACTTGTTGAAGTTTGCCGTCCACCACTAGGTGCATCCAAACATGCCAGGTGGCTTAAAAAGCTCATGTTCTTTGCCAGCAGGGAAGCATGGACAGTGCAACCATATACAGCCAACAGCAAACCAGGAAAGAGTTAAAGAGGCAGTGAGAAAGAAGGATATTTGCATGTAGTCAGGTGGAGAGAGGCTCCTTCATCAGCACAGGGGCTCTATGAACCCTTCACAGTCCCTAAATACCTGCCCTTCCTCATCCCTTACTTTTGACTCCCTTACTCTCACCCCTGGGATAAAGCCAACTCTGGCTGTGCTAGCACCAGGAGAGGAAGAGATACACACTGGCACACCTCCAGCATAGAAAAATAAGTGCACTCTGCTGCTACCATCTGCTTGTTCCAGGCTGTCCTGCCCTGGCGATGTCTGTGTGCTCCTGGGAACACCCTCTGTCCTGCCAACTGTGTGACCAACTGGCCTCACTGATAGATGTAAATATTAAATATTGCTATTCTGAAATTATTTTCTGGCTTGATTTGTGTGGTTTGAAGTACTTGTGAGCTGAAACTACCTCCAATAAGAAGATAAATGGGATAACAGAGAAAGCAGAGTTAAATCATCTGACTTGAATCACCATGAAGAAGTCTCTTCTAGAGTAGGCATCAAGATACACAGGCTGTGGGGAGAGGCACCCTTCCCACAGCCCACACTGAAAGAGATGCCTAAGGCAAGTGGGAGGCATTGCCCTGCTGAGCAAGGTTCAGTTGTCCACCATGGACAGGAACATGTGGTGCCATTTGAAGTGCAGCAAAGAACCCAGGCACAAATGTCCAGAGATCCAAGAGTCTCATCTGGAGCTAACAACATGAAGGTGTGGCTGACCAAAGCAAACAGCTGTCTCTTGCAATCACAAGGATGCTAAAAATTCATCTAATGAAAACACATAAAGGTGACTAAAATTAGATAAAATTATTTCAGCTCATGCTTTTTTGGATCTCCCAAATCACCTTTTACATGAGGCAAAACCTGTGCTCTCAGAAGTGACACCAGAGCCTTCTGCAGGAGCCAGCCAGCACACTGCAACAGGGACAGCTCCTCATGCCAAGCACTGCAGGGAGACCTGCGAACCCAAACTCTTCTTGTGGGCAAGGCTTCAAAATAAAATGTCTGCATAATACTAAATATAATAAAAACTTTGATTTGAACAGGGAGTTGGCCTGACTGAAGACATCATGGTTCAGAATTAGGATTACTACAGATTTTAAATTATTGGTTTTGGGTTTTTTTCCAAAATGGAAAGAATTCTCTCAGGGAAATCTCCTAGCAAAGGAAAAGAGCAATTGTGTCCTTAAGAGGTTTTTTTTGTAATGTATACATGAAGAACTTAGTAAAACTAAGACACGTATTCTTCTATATCTAACTATTCTCTACACTCACCATCTATCTATCTATCTATCTATCTATCTATCTATCTATCTATCTATCTATTTTTCTGTATCTATCAACTTTAAATAATTAATAGTCAAAAACTACCCAGACATAAAGACAAAAGTATTTGTGTCATTTTGATATTAATTCACTGTGCAATCACACTACACAGGCTCTGATTGAAGGACTTGAATATGTTGGGTTTGCATCAAATTATCCCTCTCTGTCCTGCCTTTGAAACTCATGCAGGAGATCAGCCACTTGCAATTACTACTAACTTGGGACAGGAACAAAACTTTAGACCAAGGACATCATCTGAAAAATGTAAATGTTTGGAGACCAACAGCCCCGTGTTTCAGGTGTCAGGATCAAGAACATAATCCAAATACCTGGGCTGGACACCGCAGATTAGTTCATACCCTCTCACCTCAAGAGGAACTGTCAGTTCATTTTGATGCAAATGGCTTAGACGCCTCAGGCCTGGGCACTCGATGTTCTCGATTTTTTTGGCTTGCAGAGCAAACTAAACCAGTGACAGGTTCATCCTTGCAGACATGAGTGCCATGAGTTCCCTGTATTCCTGTATTCAGGTACTGGAAAGGATTTGTATCCCCCAAGCTCAGAACCATTGGAGGTTCACCAGAATATCTTGGCTGCTATTCCAGGAGGGCAAGGTGTCTCCAACAGGGACTGTAACCTCTGCTTGGCCCAGTGGACAACTCAGAGGTTTTATAGCACATCAGGTGGCACCAGTCAGCTCCATGTGAGCATTCAAATCAAGCTCTGAAACATCTACTGGGTACAGTGACACTGCTCTTAGAAGCAACCCTGAGTTCATCAGTCTGAGACATGTTCTCACTCTGTCCTGCCTCACAAGACTAGAAACAGGTCAGTCAATTCCCCCTAAGATTTGTCCCCATGGGTTACTCTGGGAGCTTGAAGTGAGCAGCACAGCAGCTGGCACCCAAAGCTGCAGCCCTCCAATATGAGCAGGGAGTGAAACCCACCTCAAAAATCTCTTCATTGGTGAGATTTCTTTTTTTTTTTCTTTAAAATAGATGCATTAGCTGAGAGTCATTTAATGGCAAAGGAGTACAATAACAGATTCAGTGAGGAACTGGTCTTCTTGCTATAAGCTTATATTTTTACAGCCCTTGCACTGTATATCAGCAAAAACACTCCAGATTGAGATGAACTACCTTACACAACCTCTTTCTCTAAGTTACCTTCATCCCATCATGCCATGTTTTCACTTCATTGTGTCCTATCACATCTGCCCTCCACCCCTCTGGGTCTTTAAATGAAATTTCTCTGGAGAATTTTATGCCTGACAATTTTTTGGATTTTTTCCCAAGAGATTAAAAAAAGCAGAGTCAGTCCCGACATTCTCTGCAGATGTCAAAGAACAAATTCAAATCTTTCTTTTGGCATGTTGAATTTAGTTGACCCTCACATGAAAGGAGCAAGGTCAGGTCTGTCCTCCCAAAAGTATCTGATTGCAGAGCAGGCTGAGACCTGGCTGCATTCACCCTCAGCCACATGCGCCTTCAACCCTTCCCTGTTCCTGCTGACCAAATATGCTGTAAAACGTTTTTTCACAGAAAAAACTTAGTATGTGTACGCTGTTTTAATAGTTTGTGGAACACCCATTTTGAGCAAGGAAGGCAAACCAGGGAAAAAAAATGACTCCACTGCCAGTGGCAATGGAGCTGCAGTTTCTAGGACCTTGTAGGTTCATTTAAGGTGGAAGGGAGTGTTTCTAATTACCAGCCCAAAAAATGTGCCTTTAAAATTCACTGTGTCCCTTTTTGTATTTAAAATAATTGGGTCAAATTTAAAAGTCATTGCTCAGTCAAAATAGCATTTTATTATAAATATAAAGGAATATTTCTCCTAAGGTAGGTGAAGTAATCATCTGGCTGTCAGGCTTTTTCATCTCTTTTAATTTTCACTTCTTTTTAAACACTAATTATAGAGCCTTCCCACCAGATCACTGCATATCTTACCAAAACCTTTATTACCCCTTGTACAGAGAGGTGTCACAGACAACACAGAGTTCCTGCACTTCTCTCCTTTTCTTCTCCCAGCCATCACCTATGTGCCAGTGTGTTCCCACCACGTCCTGCCAACGGGGTATGCTTAGCCTGTGCCACTGTCACTTCCATGCACAGCCACTCCTGTCTGTCTGCAGGAGCTGGCACACTGCAGAAAACCTTCCTAAAGATTTGACCTTTCACTCAGAGTGCATCCAAGAAGACGACATCTGAGATATCACCATGGAAATGAGCTACCCACTCCACAGATGAACAAAGGTATCCAGGAAAGCCATATATGTACCCTAAAACAGGCAGACTTTACATCAAATTGGTTATAAAGAGCCATATGGGGACAGATGGTAAAGATTGACAGAGCAACTGAAAGGACATTGGTGTGGCAACTCTACAATAAATGTACAATAAATGTAACCAACTTAATTCCATAATGCATACATGAGGTTTTTCCCTAGAATCATTCATGTTAACAGAGAGGTTCACAAAGTTTAAAAGTCTGTATCATTCCTATAGCTTCATTGAAGAGTCCAACACCACCTTGCTTTGTTACCACTTCCCAATCATTTCTTTGAGTATCATCATGTATCTCCTTTCATTGGTCAATGGTAAATCTTTTTTTACTGTTTCCTAGGTTTATTTTGATCACTGCTGAGAGTTTAGTCTAGTCCGTTTTAAACAGACAGATTCTTAGCCCTATCTTCTGCTTTAGCCTTGTGCTTACAACCCAGAGAAATATGGATTATCTTCATACCATTTCATATCAGACAAAATATAACATTTCCCCTACTTTAAGCCAATCTGGTAGTACCCCTCACATCAGTTTTCCATTAGGCATATCAGCACTAATCCCTGTGTTCTTAATCTTTGCTCCTCACAAAAATAAACTTGGATGTCTACTGGAGAAGGGGAAAGGCTGCAGAATTGCCAGTGTTTTTCCAAAGACAGATCCTGCATCTGGTTCTCCAGACTTTTGGGGTTATCACTCTGTTTCATACTGTGTCTTTTGTTGCAAAGTCCAGCAGTTCCTTTACAAGGCACTGCTATTTCCACTGATTTTTTCTGATTGTGTACTCAATCAAAGAACATTATCATCACACCATTATTCTTCTATATAACCTAAACTGAGCAACAGAAAATGGCTCTAAATATACCAGGCTTAGTATCTCTGAGTGTATTTTTTACACTAACTTTAGCTACTGGAATTTGGGCTTCTTGGAAAAGCAGAAAGGATCAGCAGAACAGGAACCCAACAGAGATGGCCATGGTTGGAGGCAGGAATATACATGTTTTCATTGGATTGTTTACTGCAACAGGTAAGCTTTCTTAAAAGACTTTTTAAAATTCTTCTTAAAACACATGTATTGCATAGATCTGGGTGACTTTTCTTTCAAAGGAATTGAACTCCTTTAAAGTCAGGGTAGATTTTGCCTAAGTGTGACTTTAAAGGAGTATGGTTTCATGAATCATTTTGGGATGGATTCTTACAAACCTCTTCACACTGAGCAGAACCTAATGTTTATGTATATTCTCTTAAATTAAAGAGATTCATTTAAGAGTTTAGTTAAGAGTTAGGAGTTTAATTTAAGAGTGACA